AAATCTTACCATCGACATACTGTGTTGATGAAAAAGAGAAGGATGTTCAAAAGTGTCTCTGAATCTGTCTGGATGGCAGTGAGTGTAACAATCCACACTTCATTTCACTAACCTATAGACCCAGTGGACATTAACCAGTCCACCCCTTTCATTCCAGCTCTTTTCAGGTCAAACATTAGCTCATTCTCTCCCACTGAGTTAAGCACAGTCAATTAAACCATTAGTCTACCATAAAAACACTAGAGTGACTCAAGGAACAGCAGGACTGTGCAAGTCTGTATACTTTCATTAATGAGTAAACATGGAAAATGCTCTAAAGGTGTTGACAGGGAGATGGAAAGCTCACAACGTCCAAACAAATACTATAGCACAGAGGGCATGTATCACTCACTAGATCGCTTCTGGAGCTCACAGAGGGAATATTTACACTGATTAAATCAGCAGTTCTTAAGATTTTAAAACTTTTTCTTTATTCCAGTCAGAACTACTTCTGTAGCACTCCCTCTTCAGCTGCCAGGATTCTCTGTATGAAAACAGTCCTCCCTTTGCATTTTATTATGACTCCGCAAGTCACAGACTTTTGAGGAACAGCAGAAGAATCCAGTGACATGTTCACCACAGTTCAGCAATATGTTCTTTTTTTTTTTTTTAAATGCACAGTTTTATCATAATAGTCATTTTAAACATTATAAACAAGAATCAGGATGTTCCTACAAAATACACAATGTGCAAATCAAGCTATTTTTTGATTATTATTTTTTTTTTTTAGTATCTTTCAACATTATAGAATGCATTAGTGTCTGCCCACTTTTTTCAGTGGCGTTGGTTACAGAATAATTACTTTCACTCATTTTTCACTCAAACTTCGTTAAAGGGTTAGTTCACCCCAAAATGAAAATTCGGTCATTAATTACTCACCCTCATGTCGTTCCAAACCCGTAAGACCTTCGTTCATCTTCGGAACACAAATTAAGATATTTTTGATGAAATGTGAGAGCTCTCTGACCCTGCATAGACAGCAACGCAACTGTAATGTTCCCAAGTCCAGAAACGTAGTAAGGACATCGGTAAAACAGTCCATGTGACATCAGTGGCTCAACTTCAGTTTTGCGAAGCTACGTGAATAATTTGAGAGCAAATAACAATTTATTTAACAATTCTTCTCCCCAGAGTTACGTCTTCCGCCATTTTGGAGAGTACCCAAGAGCGTAATCGACGTAATCAGCGTTATTTACGTTCGGGGGAGAAAGCGCGCACATGAATGTAATCTGCGTAATCAGCGTTGTTTATGCTTAGGGGAAAGCGTACGTATGTGTTGTGATACTCTAAAATGGCGGAAGACTTATCTCGGGGAAGAAGAATTATTAAATAAATCATGTTATTTTTGTTTTCTTTGCGCTCAAAAAGTATTCTCGTAGCTTGCAAAACTGAAGTTGAGCCACTGAAGTCACATGGACTGTTTTACCGATGTCCTTACTACGTTTCTGGACCTGGGAACATTACAGTTGCATTGTTGTCTATGCAGGGTCAGAGAGCTCTCACATTTCATCAAAAATATCTTAATTTGTGTTCCGAAGATGAACAAAGGCCTTACGGGTTTGGAACGACATGAGGGCGAGTGATTAATGACAGAATTGTAATTTTTGGGTGAACTATCCCTTTAAGGTGTTTAAAGCCATGAACCAAGCCAGCCAGCCACAAGGTGAATCACAACATTATAAACTTTCATTTTAAAATTTTAATAAATAATTGTACTACTTTGGTTTGAGGTGTTGCCATTTCACCATTTTCCTAGGATTGTCTATAACTTCTAATATGATAAAATGTTTGTGTTTCTTGTGTTTTTTGTTCTTAATGTTTCAAACTAAATGATTTCTTGGGAATATTTTCTATATCATTTCATAGGATTTTGCTATATGTCTTCAATTTTCCATTCCTGTTTTTTTTTTTTTTTTACATCATCTTCAGAAATTACATCAAACAATATTACATATCACAAGGAATATTGTTTAATTAATCTGCTACTTCAATTAGCTAAATTTTTGCATACATGCCAATTTAACTGTAATTTTAAAGGCAAAAGCTCAACAATACCCAAAACAATATTAAATTTTTTTTAGAAAGCTGTAAAATGTTTGTGTTAATATTTCTAAACATTCAAAGGTTTTTATTTAAAGGGGTCATATGATGCTGCTAAAAAGAACAGTATTTTGTGTATTTGGTGTAATGAAATGTGTTTATGCGGTTTAAGGTTAAAAAAACACATTATTTTCCACATACTGTACATTATTGTTTCTCCTCTATGCCTCGCCTTTCTGAAACGCGTCGATTTTTACAAAGCTCATCGGTCTGAAAAAGCGAGGTGTGCTGTGATTGGCCAGCTATCCAGTGCGTTGTGATTGGCCGAATACCTCAAGTGTGAGACGGAAAGGTTACGCCCCTCACCATATTGTGATGATGCCCTGTCAGGCCGGAGCGATGATTCAAAAACATGAAAACCCATTATAAACGAGGCATTCTTGCATCCAGTGGGGACATAATTTTGGATTATAATGACTTATACTGTCTTTTTACGCGTTGC